CCCCAAAACCCCAAAACCCCATGAATTATTTATCCATTAAGAAAGCGTAATTATACAAAATTATTAATTTTATAAAAATATTATAATTTATTAATATTCTTGATGGTTTGGATTGAGGAATGCTTTGCTGGAGCTTCAAATAGTTAAACATTTACTTACACTTGATGCTCTATGTATTTTTATTTTCAAATAACTAATAGGTATATTCTAATCAGTGTTTTTGCCCTAGTTTTGTCTATACTGTTGACTCTTATATACTTACTAGAGATTAAACGGCGAAGATAAGCATGCTACTCTTTAAAATCTGTCATTTTAATTGTCTGCGTAATTTACCAACTAGGTAATTTAGAGAATAAATAATTGATTATCAGATGTTATCATTCACTACTTAATTCTATTGGATGAACTCCTAGTATTCTCGTTTATTTTGCTTGAGCTTTCAAAGTTTTTCATATTTTTCATGGTGTCCTACTACTTCACTCACGAAGCTGCTGATATTTTACCATCAAAGCTTTTCTGGATCAAGGTTATGAAACTGATACTCATTGTTGGAATGATTTTCGAGATATTTTTCTTAATAGCATTCGTTGTCAAGCGATTTTAAAGAGCTGATTTGCTATGTGAAGATCCATTTTTCATAATATTACGATCAGGAGGGGAGATAATGATATTCATATTTTTGATAATTGGTATTTAAATCACTAAGCAGATTAAAAACTTTTAGCGTACAACATAATATGAAAAAACTAAATAACTTATTGCATAAAGAGAAGCTCTTTAAAAACTTTGGTAAGCATCATTAATTTTCATTTTGTTTAGGACATTGATTATATGCTTCTTATTAGACATAATCTATCAAATAATCTACGACATTATAGCCTTCATTAGCAGAGATAAATTGGGTAAGTGTGGAGTACACATAGAAAATATGTTCTGGAATGAATTCACTTGGATTATTTCTAGATGTGTAACTAATATATTTTGGGTAATACCTATTGTCTACGTATTTTGGCCAGAATTACTGTTCTCTAAAAAGAGAGTAATCAAAGAAAAAAGGTCAATCAATACAAAGAACCAAAATGATTCCTCTAGTAAGAATTAAGATACAGGTTCATTTTTGGGTTAATCAGACGATGAGGCAAATGATGATGAAGATGATGACGAGATATATCACTAGAACAACTACGCTTTCAAGTCAACAGATGAGGTAAATCACTCTCAAAAAAACTACATGGCAAGTCAATTTCGAATAATCTCACCTAATAGAGAGACACACACCAATAGGCCCAGTAATCAATCAGACTAAATGTGAGAGTATCCAAGTATTTTTTAGATCAAATCAAATATTCTATTTCTAATCTATACAAGTTTAAGCGATATAATTATTTAACTTTGAAATTAAATTAATACATTATCTTTTGAAATTCAAGATTAGACATTTGGGGTTTTGGGGTTTTGGGGTTTTGGGGTTTTGGGG